ACAGCGTTCCAGGCATTATAGAACGCTGGTTCATCATCGGACATAAACACATTTGCTGTAACTTTACCGGTTACATTTTTAATGCACTGAAAGTAATGTTTATATAAAGCGGTGTCAGATTTATTAGAAAAACAAAATGCAACGGGATATCCGTTTCCAAACTCATCCACCACAACTATAGTATACAACTGAAAATTATACCCATTTAACCCATGAGTTCCGTCTATACATACTTTATCATTTCCAAATTTCATTAGTAACTCTGACTGAAACTGTGTCATTATGATTAGACAAAAATCATCTTTTGTAAAACTTTGAACATTATTGTCACTGTTTCCCTGTTGTTTAAAATATATTATTGGACTTTCATCACCTTTCGCTATCATCTCTTTTACCCAAAGATTAACACTTATTAAATCGTTTTCATGTCTTTTGGTAGCATATGATATATTATAATCTCTTTTGATATTATGTATGTCCTTTTTTTCAATTAAGTGAATTCGTTTTATACTATCACTTTCAACATTTGATGATCTGATGTCTTCTAAGATTTTATTAACTGGTACACCCAATGATAATTTCCCTAAAAACATAATTAAATTTTATGAAGTTACATAATATTGGATCTACAAGTATGGGAATTTCATTGTAATTATTGCAACAATTTAGTATGACCAAATTACCTGCTATCTTGCTTCGATCTTCAGCAAATAATCTCTGTTTTCCTATTTCATGTGTATGTGAAAGATGAGTATTACAATACTGTACAGTAAGTTTGGAATTTTGTAAGTGTACTTTTATATTAGATGGGCATGCATGGCCAATTTTTACTGTACCACAACTTTTTGTAGATCGATGGCCCTATTTTATTAAAATATTAGTTTAAATAAATGTGTTTCATGTTCAATTGTATTGTGCTAAAATATAACATTTTTAAATAATAAAATATTTTACTTTTCTAGTAGTTCTTTGACTAAATGATCTATGGCAAAAAAAGTACATATATTCTTTATCGGTTGATTTTTTGATTGAAGTAGTTTTTACAAATTGACAAAATTCTTTTTCCTCGATAGTTCTTTTCCATGCATTAAAATCTATATAATTTTTAAAAATAACCAATGTAAAAAATGTTATTGTAAATTACTTAATATATTTACCTTTACAATGTCAGCAAGTAAACTTGGAGGTCAATTTTCAAAAAATTCACAAATAAAACATTGTGTTTAGTACACAGGAAGATAAAACAAATATTTAAAATTAATAATTGAGCTACAAGTAAACATGGATAGGAATCAGACTTGCTTGTGTAGAAAACACGTCAGTATTAATACAAATATGTACTTAGAGGCACTTCACAAAACACTTCATAAAAAATGTAAACGCTTAGATCTATTTTACTGGTTGGTAAATTTTACATCAAGCTACAATGTTCTTTATAAAGTTAAGAAAATTATATTATGTCAGAGTTGTATATTATAATTGTAACCAAAATGTATAACTGACCAATAGATATTCTCCCCATATTCAATGATTTTAATTAATTGCAGTTACAAAAATCATTAATTTGCCCAGCCTTGGTAAATAGTACATACAGATTCAAAATATGATAAAGTAAAAAAAAATTAACGTTCACATAATGAATACTTTATACTGATAAACTGATCCAGTCATCCGGTCATCGACAGTTTCACAATAAAACAAAAAACACAACATTTCTCCAGGTACTTATATCGTTATCCTAGGCAGAATTAAACAATATTAGACACAAATAACAAAATTACGAAGTACGATATTGTCAGAGCACATACATACAACACCAACAATGTAGTAATAAATTAGTTTACCTTCTATATTTTCAAAATGTAGCAATTTTGTCTCAATATTTACATTATGTATACTCTGTAAATGAACAATCAATCCAGACATTGATGAAAAGGATTTTGGACATAACGAACATAATGATTGACGCTGTACATTTTTCATCAAATGGCTTTTGACATGCTGAATCAAAACCTTTTTTAAGTCAAAAGTTTCGTTACAATCATTGCATGTGTACAAGTTACGTTTAATAACTTTAGTTTTTTTTAAGTCTTTATGTTTAATCCTCATATGCTTATTAAAACCTGAAATTGATTGAAACTTTGCTTCGCAAACTTCACAGGAATACATAATGTTGTTCGTAAAAGTTTAAACTTATAGAACTTTATTTAAGTGAAGTAAAAGCAAATTCAAGTTTCAGACTTTCAGTTGAAATTTGAAAAACAAAACATTGATATTCTCGTTATCATTGTCATCATAGTTCGCCTTATCACAGTTTCATGAGATATGACGTCATGAATTCTACAAAAAAATTTTCCTGCTAAGAGCCATTCGTAAAATTTTTTGTCGGATCTATATCCGTGACGTCACTGTTATCTATGCACGTTTCTGTGATACCACGGTCTTGGAATAATAGGTCTGGCAACGCGACCCTTGAATGGTGTTTTTATTACGGTAAAAATCCGGATCTAGCGCAGTGCTGCGCTCTAGTAGTTTATTATACGAACGCTAATGTATAGAAGTATATAATAGATGGTACACTAAGCACTTGAATTATATATATACTTTTTTTGGATATTTAGTAAATAAAGATAAGACATAAACGATATAAGTTTTAACTTTTAAAACTAAACAAAAATAATATTATTGAATTAGATATTTTAAAAGTCTTCTTTGTCACTATATTTATGATACTTTTAATTCATTTAAAATGCCCCAGTTATGTGGTTTATGTAAACAAAGTACTGAAGGTATTACTAGTTTTGTGGTGACTAGTAAAAGACTAGAAACTTGGAAAAATGTTTTTCAGGGATTAAGTGTCGGACAGAGAATCTGTGAAAAACACTTTTCATCAGCAGATATTGTTAGAGAAAAAATTGTGAAAGATTCTACTGGCAATATTTTGATTAAGGTAAAAAGTTCTATAGGTACCTAGTTAAAAGTTAAAATATATTATTATTTTTTTAAATCATAGGAAAAGTATAAACATGCTACTATTAGGCAAGGAGCTGTTCCCTGTGTGATTAATGTATTTTCTTCTTTCGAAGAATCCCATAAAGATACAGATGATGACATATTGGCTACTCCACTGTCTCCACTTGTTATACCTGTAATGGTAATAATGTATTGATATAAATAAGTTATTAGTTAAGATCATCTAAGTAAATTCCTTCGGTGAATTTTGGCCAAATTTCAGAATATCAAGTTTTATACTTAGTTACTTAATGTGGGCTCATTTTTTTTTCTATTACTAAAGACAATTTACAATCTTTACAATAAGCAAATTTGATGTATTTTCATAAAATAAAAAAGTATGAATAACTTGTTGAGGAAGAAACCCATTGTTAACACCTCCGTTACTAATTTAATAGATCTCTAAACCATTTACGCTTTACTCTGCGAGGTGGGTTTTTTGGGAGGGTGATGGCGTACAAAGTGATAATAGGGTAGGAACCTATTGGTATGCGCGCTTAAATTTTGGTGGAAACATTTGCACATTGTTTTAGCTAGTTCAGTGGTATAATGTAGGTACATAAATAATTATTCGAGCTTAAAATTATTTGTTTTATATTATTTATTTATTTGAAAAAAATTCTTAAACTGAAAAGCATTGAAGGAAATTTATTATTTACTTTATTAGGGACTAGTTTTACCAATAAAGTTTGTTGTATTTGAAAAATTGAAATATAAAACATTATAATATAATTTCACATTTTTTCTAGAAACAATACACAAATAAAAGGCTAGCCAATTCTTCCTCAGATTATGTTCTATGTGTACATAAGAATGATGTACCTACTCCAACTGCAGATGTGTTTGATCAAGTTTATTGTGGCACAAATAGTGTAACTATGCCACTAAATTGGTCAAAAATACTGCCTGCCAACAAAAAAATTGTTATTTTTAGCAAAATCTTAATAAATGAAGAATCAACGTCTCCTTACTTTGAAAGGTCAATTAGTGTGGATGAAGATTTAGTTATAGAATGTAGGTATCTTAATAAAGTTTTTAAAAATGAAATACTATTGGAGCAGTCAAATTTTACAAAAAGTTTAGAAGGAATTCAAAATCTTATTAAGAAGTTTGATTCAATTAATATGTGTAAAGGAATAAGTATACCGGAGGAGCACAGGAAATACAAAACTAAAACTACTTGCTTTGATGTAGATGGTCGTTTCCGACATATAAACTGTTCAATAGTTAATAATTATGAAAAAATTTTGAAAATTAAAAATTGTAAATACTGTACAAAAGTAGGTTACATTATTCAAAATAAAAAGTATAAACATACTAAACAAAAATTGTATAGAATACACATACAAGTAACACCAAGTAAATTAGACAAATTAAAACAACTACGAAAACAAAGTCAAATAAATATTCAATTGAAAAAAAAATTTAAAAATAGATTGTCAGAATTAAAAACTAACTTTCAAGTATTACAAAATAAATTCAAAAATTTACAAGAAGATTCAATTTCTCAACAATTAATGCAATATAATATTCCATCTAATCAACAATTATTAATCAAAGAAATAGTGTCAACAGCAAAAAAAAAAAATCCAAAAGGAAACAGATACACGGAAGAATGGATAATACTTTGCATGTTACTACATATTAGATCACCTTCTAGTTATTATTTTATGCGTGAAAATCAGTTACTGCCATTGCCATGTACAAGGACTATGAGAAATTATTTATCTATCATAAAATCATCATGTGGGTTTGACAAGAAATTTTTTGATCTCTTTGCGAAACACTTAGAATCAAAAAAAGATTTTCAAAAACATGGTTTATTGATTTTCGATGAAATTTCATTACGTGAAAGCATTTCAGTAAATACTACAACACTTAAATATAGTGGTCTTATAGATTTTGGTGATGAAGAAGGCTTAACCGATTTACCCAAAGCAAAATGTTTAAAAGATAAAGCTACTCACGGTTTAGTTTTCTTATTTCAACCTTTAGCAGATTCTTACACGCAGCCGATTGCTGTATTTGCCTCTAAAGGTCCAGTTAATGGTTTAACATTGGCACAGTTAGTAATAAAAGCAGTAGTCTTGTTGGAAAATGCTGATGCCAAAGTTCATGGCCTGGTATCAGATGGTGCACAAACCAACAGAAAAGTATGGGCTGAACTAGGTATAAGTGGAAATTTGAACAATTGCATAAGTCACATAGAGCATTTTGTTGACGAAAATAGACAATTTTTTATATTTTCTGATACCCCACATTTGTTCAAGAACGTGAGGAATCGCTTACATAATAATAGAGAATTGATGGTAAATATTTAGTTTTAATGTGTACATTACGTCATTACTCATAAACACTAGTTACAGTGTTAAAAATGTAAAATACTCAATTTTTATATATTAGATAATATATATGTATTAATATATTATACTATATATTTTAATATATATATTAGGTTGTTGTTAATAATTTAAAGTAGGTACCTATTAACTTAATTATGAAAAAATGAATCTATAATTTCTTATAATTACAATTATAAAAATTATTTGTAATTCAAAATAACAAAAATAAAAAGAGAAAATTAGTATTTTGCATCTAAGTCATTATGTATGCATTTTATAGTTAATAGTTATATAATATATATTTATTCAAATTTTTTAAAGGTCGATCCAAACGTTGGTCTAATAAAATGGGAGCATTTTGAAATTCTTCACAAGGAAGATAAAAAAGTTTGTGACAGTCAATTAAGAGTTTGCCCTAAAATCACAGATAATCATTTACAACTGTTAAATACATGCTTGAAAATGCGTGTTCGCATTGCAGTTCAAGTAAGTTTAAGTTCAAGTAAACTAAACTATTGAAGAGGTATTAATTGTAAAAAAATATAAATGAATATAAAATAGACATATTCAGTTAATTATTAAAGTGTACTGTTGTATGTTAAGGTTTTAAGTAAATCTATGTCAGATGGTCTAAAATTCTACCAGAAACGTCACATTTCTGGACTAGAAGATTGTGATGCTACTATACATTTTACAATGATTATGAACAACATGTTTGATGCCTTAAATGCTAAAAGGCCATTTGAAGGAGTACGGCCAGGGTCAAACAATTTTCAAGTTAGAAATAATGTGTTTACGTGTGCATATGCATAGCTCATGCTTGTTTTTGGATTTTGTAGCTTGATGTGTTTCAATGTTGTTATATTTAGTTAGTCATATTGTGCATCTATGTTTATGTAACATATTTCATTGTTGTGACTTGTGTCAAATTATAATTTGCAGTATTTTAAGCTTAGGTATATTTACAGCATCATTGTTTTATTTTCATTTTGTCATTTTTTGCACATGTACAACTATGTTGTGATATATTCATGTGAAAATTATCAAAGTCAAAAAATAAAACAATAAATTACCTACCTAACACAAATGTGGCTTTATTAAGAAACAATGTAAGTATAATTGTTCTCTCTTTCTTCTGTGTTTAAATATTCAGTATTTACATCCACAATGTATAATCTCTTGTAAAACTATAGCTTAGATAGTTACTGTACTTTTTACCACTTTTGGATGTTTAAACTTTAAACAACTAAATAGTAACACAAAATTTATATTGCTTATAAATGTGTATTTATTATTAACAATACAAAATTATCATTTCTTATAGTATAAAAATAATATAATTATTAACATCTAGGTTTTAACTAATTCATTGAAATGGCTTGATAGCTGGGAAAGTAAAATTTTAACAGGAGAAATTACAGAAAAATTATTCTTGACCAAAAGTACCGCAGAAGGTTTGCGAGTTACTCTTAATTCCACTATAGCTATGACAAACTATTTAGTTGAAAAGTTTGAATTTAAATACATCTTAACCGGCAAAATAAATCAAGACGCGCTTGAGGTATTTATAATCACTTTCAACAGTAATAATTTTAACCTACTTTATCTAAATCATATGCATTTAACTTACTTTTCATTGAACTATAGAGATTTTTTGGAACTGTTCGGATGGCTTCTGGTGCAAATGACCATCCAGCAACACCAACTTTTCTACAAGTTTACAAATTACTTTCTATATATGCAGTTATAAAACCACCCAAATACGGTAATTGCACAGTTGATTCAGCTGACCCAGCAGCTCATTTAATAAGATTATCAGATATTAAACAAATATATACAAATACAGAATCAAAAAGTCTAACTGCACTTCAATATTTGAAAAATAAATTAGATGATTTAATTGATGATGGAAGATGGGAATTTATTGACATAGTGGAACATGATTATGCGTACACACCTGTAATTGACTGTCTTAAATATTATATAACAGGATATCTCTGTCATCAATTAAGCAAAAAAACAAAATGCCAAATATGTAAAAATGCATTTATAAGTACGGCATCTGGAAAA